TCCCCTGAAAATAAGACCTAGCGCATCTTTGGGAGCAAAAATTAATATAAGACACTGTCTTATTTTCGGGGAAACAGGGTAGGTGTCCTATAGAGCCCAGTGTATCAGCCTCCCCCATCACCTGAGGTAGATGCTCTTGGTGCGCCCCTTTGTGGGCTGTTTGCACAGTCTTGTTGTAGTTAAGTCTTCATTGTTGTTGGTATCACTGGAAGGAATTTGCCTCCAGGGCAATTAGCTGTGAGGACCAGTTTGTCTACAATGAGAGAACTTCTGTGCTACCCTCATGGGCAGGAGTTGCTTCAGGGGGGGCTTTGGTGCTCACTGAGTCTGCCCCCTGAGAGTGTCTCTTATGGATGTGAAGAGTTGTAATCTGGATGGTCCCATTCTAATCACTGTGTACACTGGCTCTTGGATCTTCAAGGAGGTGCAAAGTCATTCACTGCCTGAGGCTACCCAGCAGGAGCTACAGAGAAATCTACAGATTCCTCCTCAGCTGTGAAGGGTTGCAAGCTACCATCAGCCTTGGGCCTTCTTTTGGAAGCTCTGGGGCTCTCTGACCCAGCTTCAGTGGGTTAGGTTTTATATTGCAAAAGGCCAGGCCATTCATATGCAAAAGCCTCTGCACACCACTTGGGTGGGGTTGTAAATTAAGTAAGTGGGGGGGGGTGGTCTCAGGGTATCACCAGGGCAGAGCAAATAGCTGCTCCGAAGAGGCCCCGGATCTCTCGTGTCCCATGGCACTGTACTGGAACAGTGGTCACTGCAAGCATCTCTAAGAGAAAGCCGCCAGGCAGTACAGTTTCTCTCCCTATGAGTCTGGGTCTCCAGAGTCTCGCTCAGAACTGGAGTTCAAAGCAGTCAGGAGCTTTTATCTCCGTCCCGATTGAAAAAAAAGACAACCACATACCCAGTTGCCAGCCCTTTTGCACGCGCCTCCATACCTCCACACCTCCACACTTCCACACCTCCTGCTGGACTCAATATGCTTTTCTCTTTCCTTCTGGTTGTAAAATTTCCACTCAGCCAGCCTTCCTGTGGTTCTGGATGAGACTTGTTTTGTCTTTTAGTTGTACTTTTCTTTTTTTAAATATATTTTTACTGCAAAAATATTTCAGAAAGGAAGGAAGAGGGAGAGAGAGATAGAAACATCAATGATGAAAGGGAATCATTGATTGGCTGCCTCCTACACGCCCCCCATTGAGTGTCAAGCCTGAAACCCAGGCATGTGCCCTTGACCGAAATTGAACCTGGGACCCCTCAGTCTGCAGGCTGATGCTCTATCCATCGAGCCAAACCGGCCAGGGCTAGTTGTAGTTTTAATGTGGTTGTGCATGGCAGCAAGTTCAGGTGTTTACCTATGCCACCATCTTGGTTGTTCTATTTTTCTTTAACATTAACTTACCAGACACTGAATAACTACATAAATTAATAAACATAATGCAAATAAAACTGTTTTTCTTGTTCTCTGGAAGCGAAATATTTCTTATTGCATATACCAAACTAATGACTTGGTGTCCAAGACTAATGACTTGGCTATCAGCTGCTAAAATATTCACTGCTAATATTAGTGGAAAGAAATGGTGTTCCTGTGCTTAAGACACATAAGAGAAATGAATGCAACACGATTCTAGTAATCAATCATTAACAAACATTGTATTTTTTTATTAATAATTATATATAATAGAATATTGTAAAAATTAAGTTATGAAATTTTTATTAAAGCATTTGTTACATATAATTATATTGGCTGAGCAGCAAAAATATTTGTTGTTGGCCCCATGCAGCTCACAGACCACAAGTTTGATATGCTTGCTGCAGGATTTCATGTGATAGACATTTTAGTTCAATTTAGTTCCAACTCCAAAGACAGTCCCATTCCATTTAGTTATATTTATGTGACCAAAATAGATCACTTTAAAATTAAGTAAATTTAGTGGATGATTTAATGGACCATTTAAAATCATTTATTTGTGGTGCTGGTTTTGTTTGTGGTTCTCTTCTCCCCCCCCCCCCCCCCCAAATAATCCCAGTAACCTTAGGGTTTATATGCTCTTAATTAGCCAGAAAACAAATCTTGGTCCTCTTATTCCATTTTAGATTAATTTCTAAGTTTAACTCAAACTTTACTTATTGATTTTATTAATACCACTCTCCTGTTTGTTTTGTTGTTGTTGTTAATCCTCACCTGAGGATATTTTTTTCCATTGATTTTTAGAGAGAAGTAGGGGGGAAGTGAGTGGGAAGTGAGAGAGACACATCAGTTTACTTAATTATTAGAGCATAGGCCAGCACACCAAAAGGTCATGGATTTGATTCTAAGTCAAGGGCATGTACCTGGGTTGCAGGTCCGATTTCTGGCCCCAGTTGGGGCACATGCGGGAAGCAACTAATTAATGTTTCTCTCTCCCCCCCATTTCACTCTCTCTAAAAATCAATAGTAAGCCTGATCCGCATGGCTCAGTGGTTGAGCATCGACTTCTGAACAAGGAGATTACAGTTTGATTCCTGGTCAGGTCACATACCCAGGTGGTAGGCTCAATCCCCAATGTGGGGCATGTAGGAGGCAGCTGATCAGTGGTTTTCTCTCATCATTGATGTTTCTATCTCTCTCTCCCTCTCTTTTCCTCTCTGATAATAATAAAAATATCCTTTCCTAACAGGTTTGGCTCAGTGGCTAGAGCATTGGCCCATGGATTAAAAGGTCCCAGGTTCAATTCCGGTCAAGGGCGGCATGTACCCTGGTTGCGGGCACATCCCCAGTGGGAGGTGTGCAGGAGGCAGCTGATTGATGTTTCTCTCTCATCTATGTTTCTAACTCTCTATCCCTCTCCCTTCCTCTTTGTAATAAATCAATAAAATACAAAAACTAAAATAATAAAGTAAATAAAATAAAAATATCTCTTAAGAAAACTACAACTATAAACTGAACTGAACTTTTTAGCAGGGGCCAGGAATGTGGGGAAATTGAAAAGAGATTTTTGTTTATTCTGAATACTCATGTACTTTATTTTTTTATAGTTGAGAATATATTGTATTACTACTATAGAAAAAAACCTGTAAAGTCCTATATAATAAAACCCTAACATGCAAATAGACTGAACAGCAGAATGACTGGTCGCTATGACATACTCTGCCCACAGAGAGGGAGGCAACCAGCAGTGGCGATCAGAGGAAGGAGGCAGGCAGGCCAACGGGCAGCGCCAGGCTGCCAGCCAGGGCAGGTGCCAGTGGGGGCCTCCCTGATCACCCTGCCTGCCAGTCACCCTGCAAAGGCAGTGGGAGTCGGGGGGAGGCATGGCGCTACTAGCGGGTGGTGCCAGGCCCCTAAGCCAAGGCAGGTGCCAGCAGGGGGGGACCCCAATCACCCAACCTACTGGTCACCCCACATATTGGCCTTGATCGCCAGCCAGGCCTAAGGACCCTACCCTATATATGGGGAACAATCTCTTAGATTTAAAAATTAAAACCTAGCAAGGATATTCTAACACTGAAAAAACAGGATGATGCAGTGATGACATGCATGGACTCTGGCTTGCACATTTTGTGGTCAGCCCTGATTCTGACACTTATAACTATGTAACAAAGCCAATTACTTAACTTCTCTCTGCTTCAGTTTTTCCTCCCATAAGATGGGGAAAATAGTACTACCACCTCAGAAAGATCATGTTATGTACTATTTTTTTTTTGTAATCAGGGCAAAAAAATGTAGCTGCCCATACAACAGCAAGATGCCTTTCACCTCTGTGAAAAGTATCAACACTGGTGCATGCAACGTCCTAGATTTCGAGAGGGATGTCCCACTGCCAGTTTAGGCCCAATCCCCATGGCAATTAGACATCCCCCAAGGGCATAGACTGGGCTGAGGGACACCCCTCACCCTGTGGTGCACGAATTTCATGCACCAGGCCTCTGGTTCTATATAATAAAGATATAATATGCAAATTGTTGTTACACCATTATTATTACATAATAAATAATGACTAACGGCATAATGACAGGATCATGGATCAGTAGGAGGGTGGGGCAGCGAGCTAGAGGCAGGCATTGGAGAGCTACTGGAGGGGCAGGGCAGCAAGCTATGTAGGGGTGCGGGGGAGCAGAGGGAGCTACAGGAGAGTGGGACAGCAGGCCGAGAGCTGCAGGAGTGGGCAGGGCAGCAAGCTATGAGGAGGGCAGAGGGAGCTACAGGAGGGTATTGCAGCAAGTGGAGAGCTACAGGAGGGTGGGAGCAAGCTACTTGCTACAAGCAGTCAGCAGAGACTATAGGAGGGTGCAGGGCAACAAGCTATGAGAGAGGCACGGGATCATGGATCAGTAGGAGGGTGAGGCAGCGAGCTAGAGGCAGGCATTGGAGAGCTACTGTAGGGGTACAGGGGAGCAGGGGGGGTAGGGGCAGGGGGGGAGCTACAGGAGGGAGGGGCAGCAAGTGGAGAGCTACTGGAGGGCGGCAGCGAGCTATTAGTGCTCTGATTTGTGCACAGACTCCTAGTCTATATATTTAAAAGCCTAAGCGACTTAGAACTCAACAACCAGAATGACCAGTTGACCAGTGCGCTCCCACAGCCAACCTTCCATGACCAGCAACCTTCCCTGGTCCCTCCCCCAGCCAGCAAACCTCCTGCACTCTCTCCTCCATCTTTCCCCCTGTTCAGCAAGCCTCACGTGGCAGCCCCCTACCTGCAGCAGGCTCCTAGTCCCCGGCCAGCAGCCTGCAGGCCCTCACTGGCCTGGCTCCAATTGGGACGGGGTGAGCTAGCCACGATAGGCCCTGATCGCTGGCCAGGCTGAGGGACCCCACTTATGCACAAATGATGTGCATCGGGCCTCTAATGTTTAATAAAAGGGAAAGACCACTATACTAAATAATCTTTTAGTTTTCTAAGCTCTAAATTTCAACAATTATAGGCAGTTGCTGCAATATTTTGATAGAAATCTTGAAGTATTTCTAATTCCTTTCCTAAGTTATTTTTATTTAAATTGTTTTAAAAATGTTTTTTTAGGTGTGGAATATCAAACAAATGATTAAATTGACACAGGAACATATAGAGGCGTTATTGGACAAATTTGGTGGGGAGCATAATCCACCATCAATATATCTGGAGGTAAGCTTTTGAGTATTATATTTGTAGTAACTTTGAATAGAAAAATAATGCATGTATAAAAAGCATTTGTACTGATGATAATACAGGTTATCTTAGGTGGTTGGATTAGAAACAATGGGAAAAGAGAATTAGTTTTGTCTTTGCTTCTTAATCTTGTTTCACTTGTACTGTTTTGTAATTTGGAGAATGTCAAGATTAAGAAAAAGTTGTGTTTGAACTCCAAAATTTTATCCTGTTAAAAAAAAAAAAGTTTTTTTTACAAAAGAAGATTCTGGAAGTCAGCAAACTACTTGCCATATTTAAAAGATGGGGAGAATTTTGTAAAATACCTTTTTTCCAGAACAGATCTCCCCCAAATTGGATTTTGCTTTCTAAAATTTATAATGTTTAAATATTAAATAGCCCAAAATTACTTAGATTTACTGTTTAATAGTGCCTTGAGGCTTTTGTATCAAGCCTTGGGTATCATTGTAAATTTATAGAGTTAGTCATTGTACTTAATCCAATGAGGTAGTAGTTACTATTCTAATCACAGATAAGCTTTCTTGGCATTAGTTTCCTTAGGGTAAGTCACTCAGATTCCACAGCCAGCAAGCTGTTATGGAATCTAGGCAATCAGGCTCCACAGCCTGTTCTGCTTACCACTATGCTGTTCTGCCTGTCCCTGTAAAGGCTGGCTCCACAGTAATTACTAGCCATACAGTGATATAACCCTAAATTATAAATGATAAGGTTACCATATGCCTCCAAGTGCCAGAGATTTTTAGGAGTCGACAGACTCCTAAACTAAATTTCTAATTTAGCAATCTAAATACTTTTTAAAGAGTAGGTTAAATCTTCAGTATTTAATGAGAAAGTTTGCATTTCTAAAATAAATTTGGAAGTTTGGAAATAACTGCTAATATACTGTTCTTTTTATATGGCTTATCCCAGAGCACACTGCTAAGGTAATATTAGAGTTAGGAGTAGAATTCATACCTCTGAATGCTATCTGTTTTACTTGTATGCCTGAGGAGGATAAGAAATGAGCTATAAGGAGGCATATAGTCCTGGGGAAAATAGTAATTCTTTATTAATCAGAATTAGGCAACTTTAACCAGCAGTTTTTTCTGTCCACCCTTTCTCTGTCTTGGGAGATGTATACAGTAGGTCCTTGGGTTATGTCGGAGATCCGTTCCTACGGCGCGACGTAACACGATTTTCACTGTAAGTTGGAACCCATCTACATAAGCACCTATGTCACTCACATGGAGCACATACACAGCAGTAATGAAGTGAAACAGTAAAAAAAAAAAATTTTAAAAGAAAGATAACAATTCCTGACCTTTACTTGTGGTAAATAAATAATAAAAAAGATAAAGCATATATGTACATACGTCGAAATAATGGAACTTTTTTTTTTTAATAAATACTGTAAATGGGAGATGGCAATGTAACAATGAAACGACTTACGTGGTTAAAACTGTGTAACAAAGCCAATTTCTTACCTTCTCTCTGCTTCAGTTTTTCCACTCATAAGATGGGGAAAATGGAACTACTGCCTCAGAAGGATCTTGTTATGTTGTTTTTGTGTTGTTGAGTTGTAGGAGTTCTTTATATATTCTGAATATTTGTCCTAAATATTAATCCTAATCAAATAGATAATTTGCTAATATTTTCTTCCATTCTGTGGGATCTCCATTCACTCAATGTGATAATGTGATAATGTCCTTTGATACTCAAAAGCTTTTTTGTTTTGTTTTTAATGAATCTAACATCTGTTTTTCCTCTTGTTGCCTATGCCTTTGGTATCATCCAAGAAAGCATTGCCAAATTCAATGTCATGAAGCTTTTCCCTATGTCTTCAATGAGTTTCTATAGTTTTAGTTTTTATGTTTAGGTCTTTGATCCATTTTGAGTTAATTTATATATGTGATATAAGGTCCAGCTTTTGCATTTCATATCCAGTTTTTCCAGTACCACTTACTGAAAAGTCCTTTCTCATTTAATGGAAATTTTGATAAATGCACTTTCAAGACATTTTACCATATATGTGAGAATTTATTTCTGGGCTTTCTACTCTATTGGTCTATATGTCTGTCTTTATGCCATTACTACATTGATTTGATTACTATAGGAAAAGCTAAGTTTTGACATCAGAAAGTATGAGACCTCTAACTTTGTTCCTCCTCAAGATTGTTTTGGCTATTTCAGATCCCTTGAAATTCTATATGAATTTTAGGATGGATTTTTCTATTTCAGCAAACACTGGGATTTTGATAGGGATTAAATGAATCTATGGATTACTTCAGGTCTTGACATCTTAGGTCTTTTTTTTATATAAGTATGTCTTTATTGATTTCAGAGAGAAGAAGGGAGAGGTATAGGGAGATAGAAACATTGATGAGAGAGAAACATCAATCGGCTGCCTCCTGCACACTCCCCACCGGGGACTGAACCCATAGCCCAAGCATGTGCCCTGACCAGGAATTAACCAGCAATCCCTTGATTCATAGGTCAACACTCAACCCATGAGCCACACCGGCTGGGCAAGAGTCTTTAACTCGTAAATATGAACAGGTATCTAAGAATAAACAGAAATGTGAAGAAAGCTTTTTAACAAATATAACAATAGAAATGGTCAAAACATGTACAGAAAGCAGAAGAAAATTATAATTAACATCAGAGATATGAGAAGACATGCTAATGTGTTCTTGTTTCATGGCTGTACTAAAGAAGCAAAAACAGCCCTGGCCAGTGTGGCTTGGGTTGTTGGTACATCATCCCATGCACCAAAAGGTCTCGGGTCTGATTGCCTGTCGGGGCATATAACCTAGGTGCAGGTTCACTCCCAGGAACGGGCACATTCAAGAACCTGTGTCTGTCTGTCTGTCTGTCTGTCTCTCTCTCTCTCTCTTTTTCTCCCTCCCTTTCTCCCTCCCTCCCCCTTTTTCTCCCTTCTCTCTAAAATAAAAATGGGGATACACACACACACACACACACACACACACACACACACACACACAGGAAAACATATCCTTGGGTAAGGATTTTTAAAAAGCAGCAAATGTAATAGAAAATCAATTGACCATAAATGTAAGGCTTTATAAGTATTGTGAAGAATTTAATACATGTTAAAAGTAACATTTTTCAGGCAATAGTACAAAGGACTAAGTTCCGGTAATTGATAATGGGACTAATTGGCCTAGTTTCATTATTTTCTCCATCAACTGAGAGGAAGAATGGAATAATTGAGTGATAGGATTTACCTAAGATTAGTATTTAACAAGCAAGTTTGTAAAACAATGAGAATTAGCCAGAAAATCTAAGGTGTTACCAGTGTCATTGTTGAAATGTCACTATTACTTAAAGAAGTAAGACAACAAAAACCTAAATCTGACAAACTTGAAGGGATTAATATTGACCATGAACACATTAATGTGGTAGTGAGATGGAAGCTTAAAAAGATGGGATAAGTGTGTGCATAGCAGTATGGAATGTTATAAACTGAGATATCAACATCATTTGGGACTCTTGTAAAGAACAATATAGTATAGTTCTGGATCTTGAAGGTAGTATGGAAATAAATGCCTTTAGAGATTCAAAGGTATAAAGAACTTTAAGGCAAGAATATTAAAAGAGTACTAGGTGTACTGGTTAATAATGGTGGATTTTATAATAAACCCAATAATTTCAAGGGAAACATCAAAAGTGTTTTATTCAAAGTAATGTCCATCACTAGCTACACATATCCCCCATCTTTCAAGTAATTTGTGGATACCATCCCATCCCAATAGAACTTTTCTTTTTTGAGGCAAACCATTCAGAGACCCAATTTTCCAATTCTTCGTATATTTTAAAATGCTGCTCAGAAAGTGCATGTGCCATCGATCAGAACAAGTGGTAATCTGAAGGAGCAAGGTCTGGTGAATATAGTGGGTGGGTTAATACTTCCCAAGCAAGATTTTTTAACGTGTTTTTACCTGGTTTTGAAGTGTGTGATGGTGCATCATCATGAAGCCAAATTACTTTGCCGTGTCTTCTAGGACATTCTGGTCTTTTCATGATCACAGCGTGGTTAAAGGCAGAGCTAAGGGCGATTAGGCAGGCAGAGGTGGTTAGGGGGATAAGACAGGCAGGCAGAGGCAGTTAGGTGCGATCATGCAGGCAGGCAGAGGAGGTTAGGGGCAGTCACGAAGGCAGGCAGGAGAACAGTTAGAAGCCAGCAGTCCCATTTTGTGAGAGAGATGTCTGACTCTTGTGGGATCATGCCGAAACTGGCAGTCGGACATCTCCTGAGGGGTCTTGGATTTCGAAAAGGTGCAAACTGGGCTGAGGGACACCCCTCCTCCATACACGAATTTTGTGCACTGGGCCTCTAGGCCTATAAATAAAAGAGTAATATGCAAATTAACCATCACTCTGCTACACCCACAAGCCACACCCACCAGCCAATCAGGAGTGAATATGCAAATAAACCCAACTAAGATGGCTACGGCCACAGAGAGCAGGAGGGAGGCTTAGGTTTCCCTGGCAATGGATGAAGCCAAGCTTTCCCCCTGCCCTTGCCAGCCTAGGCCTCCACTCCAGGCTACAAAATTTCAATTATAGAAGATACATACATCCCAACAGAAATGGCTGCTGCCATGGAGCAAGCAGAAGGCTTGGCTCTGCTCCAGGCTACAAAGTTTCAATTGTAGAAGATAAAGAAACCCCAGATACCAGAGCCTCCACTTGGGTCCCAGGGGGTGTGGCCGACCTGCAAACCACAGGCCCCTCACCCAGCCCGCCCCACACCCCAAGGGATCTCCCATCCTGATTTTGGAACACCTTTCAGGGCAAACCAGATAGTCCCCACCCATGCACTAGGCCTCTATCCTAAATAATAAAAGTAATATGCAGATTGGCCATCACTCCAACATATAAGATGTCTGCCCCATGTGGTCCAAGATCCTGCCCCCATGTGGACACAAGACAGCCACCATAAGAAGGCCAGCAAGGGGGGATTAGAGGTGACCAAGAAGGCAGAAGACAGAAGTTGGGGCGACCAGACCTGCAGAGAAGTTCAGTTGGGAGGGACCCAAGCCTTCAGGGGAGAGGAGTTGGGGAGGGGACCAGGCCTACAGAGGAGGGCAGTTAGGGGTGACCAGGCCTGCAGGGGAGGGCAGTTAGGGGCAAATCGGCTGGCAGGGGAGTGGTTAGGGGGTGATCAAGGCTGACAGACACCCTCCCCCCCCTGCACAAATTCCGTGCACCGGGCCTCTAGTTTATAATAAAATATGCAAATTGACCGAACAGCAGAATGACCAGTTGCTATGATATGCACTGACCACCAGGGGGTCAGATGTTCAATGTAGGAGCTGCGCTTTGATTGTCATTGCACCACTCAGACAGAAGCCAGGCTCACGGTTGATGAGCGCAATGGCTATGGCAGGAACTTCTGCTTCCACTGCAGTGCTAAGGATGTCCGACTGATGGCTTAGGTCCACTCCCCTCGGGAAGCAGTCTTAACCCATCAGACATCCCCCAGGGCTCCCATACTGGGACAGAATGCAGGCAAGACTATGAGGGACACCCTCCCCCCTCATGCACCAGGCCTCTCATGTATATATTTACACACACACACACACACACACACACAGAGATATGCTCTATAATCTGGTCTCTTACCACATTTTCAGTCTTATGTTTGTTTTCCTACACTTTAGTTAAATGAAACAAATATATATTTATCCCTTACTGTGTCCCAGATATGACATTCAACTATACTACTTTATAGTTTTTCCTCTATGTCTTAAAATTTTCTGCCTCCCGAGATGTAAAGCCTAAGGTACGGAGACACACGGCACGCGGAGAGGACGGAGCCGGAGAGGAGGGCGGCTGAGTGCCTGGCTGACATTTCCTAGCAGGAAGGAGATAAAAGCTTCGACTGTGTTGGGCCCCAGTTCCGACTGCTCTGAACCCCAGTTCTAGGCCAGACCCCGGGGACCCAGGCTCATCCATAGGGAGCTGGGCTGTAAGACGGAACCCCGAGTGAGCGGCTAAAGAAGGTCCCGGAGGCGCGCACATTGCGCGCAGAGAAGGGACAGTTGGCAGTGCCATGGGATTGCCCTGGCGGGAAGGAGACTGGGGCTCCGGACTGCTCTGAACGCCACCTCCAACTAAACTGAACCCCAGTTCCGGGCTCAGTGGGGGAGAGCATTGACTGTTTGGCAGCAGGTGAAAATCGAGGGCACCTTTCTCTCAGATGCGCTTGCAATGAGTACTGAAGGACCCTGGGGATTACTGAGACCCAGGAACCGCATAGGGCGGGGCTGACGGAAGCCAAGGCTGTAGGCTCCACCCTGAAACTTCGCCCCATCTGTAGCTGCAAAATGCGACAACGAAATAGATCACAAACGAAAGAAATGGAGGACAAAAAGCGACTGGATATAGAGTTCAAATCTATGCTTATAAGGTTTTTCAAGAATTTCCTAGAAAAGATCGATAAGACCTATGAGGATATGAAAAGAGATCAACTAGAATTAATAAGGAATCAACAAGAAATGATAAGGGATCAACAAGAAATAAAGAATACATTGAAATAAAAAATATTATACAGAGTACTAAAAACAGAATGCAAGAATCAAGTCAAAGAGTTGGAACATAAAGAGCCAGAAGACACTCCTCCACAGAAGCTAGAAGGCAAGAGAATCCAGAAAATTGAAGATAATGTAAGAAACCTCTGGGACAACTTCAAGCGAACCAACATCAGAATTATGGGGGTCCCAGAAGATGAGAGAGAGCAAGATATCAAAAACATACTGAAAGAAATAGGGACAGAAAACTTCCCCACCTGGTGAAAGAATTAGACTTACAAGTCCAGAAAGTGCACAGAACTCCAAACAAAAGGAATCCAAAGAGGACCACACCAAGACAAATCATAATTAAAATTCCAAGAGCAAAAGACAAAGAGAGAATATTAAAAGAAGCAAGAGCAAAACAGGTAGTTACCTATAAAGGAGCACCTATACGATTGTCAGCTGATTTCTCAACAGAAACCAGGCAGGCCAGACGGGAATATTCAAGGTGATGAATAGTAAGAACCTACAGCCAAAGATAATCTATCCAGCAAAGCTATCACTCAGAATCGAAGGTCAAATAAAGAGCTTCTCTAATAAAAATAAAAAATAAAAAGCTAAAGGAGTTCATCACCACCAAACCAGAATTATATGAATTGCTGAAGGGGTTCTTTCAGAAGAGAAAGTAAATAAAGATAAAAATTATGAACAACCAATACGTAACTATCAACAAGTGAATCTAAAAACCAAGGAAATTTTTAAAAAAAATCTGATGAACAATATTAACTGTTGAATATAAGAGAATCAGAGGTATGGAAGGGGAGTGAACTGACGATTCTTGGGGAAAAGGGGAGAGGGGGATGTGGGAAGAGACTGAATATAAACTGCACCTATGGATGAGGACAATGGGGGGTGGGGAAAGGGCAGAGGGTGAGGTGGGAACCTGGTGGAGGAGAGCAATGGAGGGGGGGGGAACATTTGTAATAATATGAACAATAAAAATTTATTTAAAAAAAATATATATATATAAAAATAATAAAAAAATAAAAATTCTCTGCCTCCCTTCTTTGTTACACAATTTATGCTGTACTCAGTCCTCTTTCCCCCACTTACTCCATCCATTTGAATATTAGCCTTTTAAGATCCCCTTCCTTCTTCATTCTTGTATCAAGAATGTTCTTTGTCTTTTTCTCATATATAATACTAACACAAAAATATATTCATCTGCTTCTCAGCAGCCCAAAAATGAACTCCTTTAGAGCTGTGAATTGTCATTTCTAAACCTTTATTCTCCCTATAGCATTTAATAAATGGTTGTATGATAGTACTTAATCTTTAAGGGAAAAATGGTGAACTATATAGTATAGGGTGATTACAACTCCCTTAAAGAACTGCCTTAAAGAACCATGGACATGTATATGTCAATTCATTCCATCTCTTTACTTTCAATATCATTCTGTTTTCAAGATTCTTCTTACTTTTAGAATATGATATATGTGGTAATTTGATCTGATAGCCTTAGTCAAAATTGACAGTAGTACCAGAATTTCTTGACTGCAGTGTGTAAGCCACCTTTTCAAATAAAATTTTATTCTCTAAACAGTATTTGATGAGGAAGGAAGTCATCAGAGATCCATAGTGAGAAGAATAAAAAATTTTAATTGACAGCTATTTCAGAAGGAAGACAGCAGTTATACATCTTCTAAGCTTTTGGTGGTAGTGGTGAGATCTGGCACTGTATATCTGAGTCTTATTTTTCTGAAAAATCTAAAACCTCATCTCCTTTTCAACTTGTCTGTCTGTTCTTAGGAGCAGGGGAGAGGAGTGTGAAACTTTATGTGCCAACAGCTTTTTTTTTTTAGGGTGGGGAAACAATTTTAATGAAAAGGGTACTTATCCTTGATGTACTATAGTATTTTATACTATCTTCTTTTATTAATACTCATAGGTATTATAGACATCTCTTATATGTATCAGTTTCTCGTTGTAGTATAATATAGTATCTTATAACAAAAGATTTATCAATGTAAAGGTAAAAGTTGTCATTTACAGTACTTCCAGTGCTTATTTTGAAACTCATAACTTAAAACCCTGTTAGCTAAATTATAAAGAGATTATCATCAAGGACTTAAATTTTATGTGGGTTTTTTTGTTGTTGTTACTGTCAGGAAGAGTTCCAGATTCACTGTAAATCTACTTTATTTTGTAGGCCTATGAAGAATACACCAGCAAACTAGATGCCCTCCAACAAAGAGAACAACAATTATTGGAATCCCTGGGGAATGGAACTGATTTTTCTGTTTCTAGCTCTGCATCAACGGACACCGTTACATCTTCTTCCTCTTCTAGCCTTTCAGTGCTACCTTCATCTCTTTCAGTTTTTCAAAATCCCACAGATGTGTCACGGAGCAACCCTAAGTCACCACAAAAACCTATTGTTAGAGTCTTCCTGCCCAACAAACAGAGGACAGTGGTGAGTCAACTTTTAATATCATCATTCCTTTTCTTTGTATTTTTCAGAAAGACCACTTGTTGAAAATGAAATATATCATCACTTTATACTCAGTGGTCTTACAAATTGAAGCATTTTGAACAAGGAAGGAAGAGACAATTATTTGGTGCCAAAGTGTGTTCCTTAACTATAACAAATAGTATTGTTTTTAGTGTCAGATATGACATTTATCCTACCACTAAACTTGAACCGTGCTCAAGTTTAAGTACTAATTCAGATTCAATCAGGATTTTAAGACTAGTGCTTACTTGTTGTCTAACATCTATCAGGTAAGATTCATTCTTCACCCTTGAGAATTCTCTATTTGGATTTATTTTTCCTCTTGTTTATATAAGTTTTGATTGTTGATCATTAGTATCATCTTAGAATAGAGTACTCTGTAAGTTATATTTAGAACAGAGAAATCTGAAGAATTATTTTGGATGGTCTGTAATCCTCAAGTGCAATAAGTACTGTAGTAGGTTTAGTAAATAATGCACCCTTATACGTCATTACTTTTTATAGTGCATATTGCTTTTGATATTAACAAAAAACATGCCGAGACCAGTTTGGCTCAGTGGATAGAGCGTCGGCCTGCGGACTGAAGGGTCCCGGTTCGATTCCGGTCAAGGGCATGTACCTTGGTTGCAGGCACATCCCCAGTAGGGGGTGTGCAAGAGGCAGCTGATCGATGATTCTATCTCATCGATGTTTCTAACTCTCTATCCTTCTCTCTTCCTCTCTGTAAAAAATTAATAAAATATATATATATTTTTAAAAATATTTCATTTCCAATAAAGTCAAAGTAATATTTTTTTAAAATATATTTTATTGATTTTTTACAAAGAGGAAGGGAGAGAGATAGAGAGTTAGAAACATCAATGAGAGAGAGTCATCGATCAGCTGCCTCTTGCACACCCCCTACTGGAGATGTGCCTGCAACCAAGGTACATGCCCTTGACCGGAATCGAACCTGGGACCCTTCAGTCCCCAAGCCAACGCTCTATCCATTGAGCCAAACCGGTTTCGGCGATAGATGAAGATTTGACTTGAGATGGTGAACACAGAATACAATATACAGATAATATATTATAGAATTGTACACCTGAAACGTATATAATCTTATTAACCAACTAGAATCCTCGTGCACAAATTTGTGCACCAGTGGGGTCCCTTGGCCTGGCCTGCAGATTGGACCAAAACCAGCTTTCCAATATCCCCTGAAGGATCGCAGATTGCAAGAAGGCGAAGGCCAAGCCTAGGGACCCCACTGGTGCACGATTGGGGCTTGGGAGAGATGTGGGAGGTTGGCTAGATGGGAAGGAACTGCAGGAGGGATCCAGGGCATATCCAGCCTGTCTCGCTCAGTCCCAATCAGTTAGACCCCAGCACCAAGCTAACCTACCCACTGACTGGCCCCTGATGGTCAGTACACATCATAGCAAGCAGTTAAGCAGCCTTAGCATATCATTAGCATATTACTCTTTTTTTAAAATATATTTTATTGATTTTTTACAGAGAGGAAGGGAGAGAGATAGAGAGCTAGAAATGTCGATGAGATAGAAACATCGACCAGCTGCCTCTTGCACACCCCTTTCTTGCGAATGTGCCCGCAACCAATGTACATGCCTTTGACTGGAATTGAACCTGGCACCTTTCAGTCCACAGACTGACGCTCTACCACTGAGCCAAACTGGTTTCGGCTAGCATATTACTCTTTGATTGGTTGAATGGATGACTAAACACTTAGCATATTAGGCTTTTATTATATAGGATGTCAACCCAATAAATTCAACTAACAAAGAAAAAAAGATAAGTAGATGACAGTTATCATCTATGAAGTATCCTTACTAAGAATGATTGCAAGTTAAATGTCAGGTTTCTGCACCTTCCATTTTACAAGAAACACAGGGAGAGAAGCACCATGAGGAAACAAGAAAAATGTGAACATCTTCTAAGATAAACTGTCTCAATGTCATGGAGATTAAACAGTTGGGGATTTCCTGGCTGGTGTGCCTCAGTTTGGAGCATCATCCCGTGCCCAGAAGGTTGCAGGTTCGATTCCCTGTCATACCACATATCTAGGTTGCTTGTTCAATCCCTAGTCAGGACCATGTATGGGAGGCAACTAATCAATTTATCTCTCTTACATAGATGTCTGTCTTCATATATATATATATATATATATATATATATATATATATATATATATATCTTCCCCCCCTTTCCTTCTCTCTTCTTTCTCTTACTCTCCACCTTCTTCCTTCTTTGGAATCAGTAACATAAAAAATAAAAAAGTTGTGGATTATTCTATGCTAAATAAAAATAAAGAGACATAACTAAACACAATGTGGAGTAGAATGGTTATGGAGTAGAATGGGGAGAGCTGTAAAAGACATTCTTGAGCCGAAACCGGTTTGGCTCAGTGGTAGAGCATCAGTCTGCAGACTAAAAGGTCCCAGGTTCAATTCCGGTCAAGGGCATGTACATTGGTTGCGGGCACATCACCGGTTGGGGGTATGCAAGAGGCAGCTGGTCGATGTTTCTCTCTCATCGACGTTTCTAACTCTCTATCTCTCTCCCTTCCTCCTCTCTGTAAAATACCAATAAAATATATATTTTTTTAAAAAGACATTCTTGAGACTTGGGAAATTTTTAATGTTGACTGAACATTAGATGTTATGGAATTATTAATTTTTAAAGTGTGATAATATACAGGAGATGTTTTTATTCTTGGGAAATACATGTGTAAATATTTAAGAGTACATTATAATCATGCCTACAACTTTCTTCCCCTCTTTTTTGAAATATAACTTCAGTATAAAAATATCAAGTATGTACAATTCAATGACTTTCTACAAATGTAACTGCCATGCAAATTAAGATACAGAACATGCCAGACCAGTGTAGTTCATGGTTGGGCATAGACCTGTGAATGAGGAGGTCATGGTTCGATTCCCAATTTGGGAACATGCCGAGGTTGTGGGCTCAATCCCCAATATTGGATGGGCAGGAGACAGCTGATCATTGATTCTCTCTCATCATTGACTTTTTCTTTCTTCCTCTCCCTTCTTTTCTAAACTTAATAAAAATGTGTGTGTTTTTTCTAAAAGATACAGAACATTTCTAGTATTTGAGAGAATTCCCCTGCCTCTCTTTTCCCTCCCCTCACCCCCTGCAACTTCAATTCAGGACCCACCCTCAAGAGTAACAACTATTCTGACTTCTCAATCAATTTGGAACTTATTGTCAAATAATATGATGGCCGTAGCCAGTTTGGCTTGGTGGATGGAGCATCAGCCTGCAGACTGAAGGGTCCCAGGTTCCATTCCAGTCAAGGGCATGTGTCTTGGTTGCAGGCACATCCCCAGTGGAGGGTGTGCAGGAGGCAGCTGATCAATGTTTCTCTCTCATAGATGTTTCTAACACTCTATCTCTCTCCTTTCCTCTATGTGGAAAATTAATAAAATATATTTTTTTTAAATAATGGGAAACAAAATGTGGGGAGAGGAAAAAAATGATTTTTAATCTAAGTAGAAAGAATTTCTCCTAATAGAGTTAGAAAAATTCAAACAACATGGAATAAAAGAAAACTGGAAAGTTGAAAAGAAACAGTTGTCTCTAGAAAAAAAGCTATTGAATATATTGATGCTGATTTGAGGAAGTAGCAATGTAATATCTATATTTATAAAAGCCTTTAAAAGTGACATCGCAACTGAACAGATGACCAAACAGGCTACGTGGGACAACCAGGCCGGCATGGGGATTAGTGAGGGACGACCAAAAGACCGAGCAGCAGGCTGCGTGGGGCAACCAGCCTGGCAGGGGCGACAGTTGGGGGTGACCAGGCTGGCAGGGAGACATTTAGGGGCAACCAGGCCAATGGGTGGGGGCAGTTGGGGGCGACCAGGCTGGCAGGGGGGAGAGGGGTTGGGGGCAACTAAGCCAGCAGGAGGGGGCAGTTGGGGATAACCAGGCTGGCAGGGGGGGCAGTTAGGGCATCGGGCAGGCAGATAGGTGAGCAGTTAGGAGCCAGTGATCCCGGATTGTAAAAGGGATGTCCTGGATTGGAGAGGGTGCAGGCTGGGCTGAGGAGAGACACACCCCCCACACACACACACACACAGTGCATGAATTTTGTGCACCAGGCATGTAGTCTATGTATATAAAAGGCTAAGTGACTGTCTGACTGGTAGCTATGACGTGCAATGGCCACCAGAGGGCAGACACTCCAACTAGTAGCTATGATGCACACTGACTACCAGGGGGCAGATGCTCAATGCAAGAACTGCCAAGCTGCCATGATGCACCCGGATCCAGAAAGGAGGGAGCCCGATTCTGGGGTGCAACACTTGAGAACCGCCCTTTTGCAATTCAGGACTCCTCGAGGGATGTTGGAGAGCCGATTTCAGCTTGATCCCTACAGGCCAGGCCCCCACCTGCTGGAGGGACCCTGCTCACTCTACATACAATCTTCAAGCTTCAGAGCTGCCTCAGGTGTGGCTGGCCAGGGAGGGACCTCGGGAGGTTGGCTCCAGGGCGTGTCCATCCCCACAGGCCATCTTCTAATTAATTTCCTTTCAATGTGCAAAATCCATACACTGGGGCACTGATTTTAAATAAAATCTCAACATATTAAAAAATACAAATGAAATAAAAAACATCTCAACATGTCAAGGTCATTACAACTTACCACAAAGCTGTATTAAAATGCTTTATGAAAATTATGTTTATTTTCAAAATTTCAATAAATGAGGTAAAAAGTTGATAAAACCCAACTAAATGAAGAGAGATTTAGTGAACTCTGGAAAGCAAAGTAAGTTTTAGAAAATATAAAGAGAGGTAAGTACATGAAGAAGGGAATGAACAATTTCATTATGTGTCTCCAAAAATTTCAGAAAGTGATAATAGAAATAAAAGGATAGAGCAAAATATAAAGAAATGATGGTTACTATTTATGAAAGACATGAGTATAAAGATTT